ATATTTGTCTTATAATACCAATTAATCGTTGTCTTTTATCAAAAAAATCAACAAACATTTGTTTAATACGTAAAATTTTTGTATACAGTATATTTTCAAATTTTTGATGAGTTGTTGTTAACAAATCAAATAATGGTTTACTACATTCTTGATCTAAATGTTAAAAATAAATATATTTCATTGAAATTTAATTCTAACAAATCAATGCAAACATTTTTCATATTTTGTACAATTATATTTTCAACATGACGTATTGCTGTTTGTAATGAACAATAAGCAAATGTATAAAGAAATGATGTTATTGTATAAATAAACATTAAAATTTTGAGTATATCACTACGATTTGAATTTTTAGTAACATATTTTTCATCTTGACAAATATCTTTCATTAGTTGAAGTGATATATTTGGTAATGTAAAACTGTGTTCTTTTGGCCAAATATTTTCTTAACATCAGAGTTTATGATATGGTAATAAAAAATGAAGAAATTCTCTTTGACACAGGAACTATAAAAATATTCAAAAATAATGTTCAAGTTCGTCGGATAGTTCAGTTGTTTGAATAATCCGTTATTGAGGTTAATGAAACATGTCGGGATTCCGTGAGTTTTGAACTAATGAAATCCTTAAAAGTACAGCTTTACTCCCAACGTTTCAAACAACAACTGTAGTGGTATCTTACATCCGAAAATGTCATGACAGATGACCAATATACAGTACAATCTTGTCTTTGGATATTTAAATATAGGTATGACTGTGGATGTAGAAAAAATCAAAACTTAAACTCACACAATTCAACTGCTGATCTCATTCTTGCATATTTTGGAAATACTAAAAGTGAGATACACAAAGATATTTGCAATATAACTAACGATCAATTTATTCTCTGTTGCATTTAATAGTAGAACAATGAAATAAGGGTAATAAATACTGATGTCATTCTCGAATAGTATGAAGATAGATCTTAACATCAAAATCAAAAATTGATAAATTAATATATCAGTTAGATAAATAACAAGCATATAATGTGTCTATAAAAAACAGTTGTGTTGTTTTCTTTTATTTCAAATTATATAAATAGTTTTTCATTAAAAAATTGTCTTTTTAATACCTCTGTATCTGATATAGGTATAGATTTAGTAATTTTAGTATTTGTTTTATTAGACGATGTCGG